GTTGTCTGATTGCTGAGGCTAGGAATTCTTGCTCTATGTTGAACAACAGCAGTGAGAGTGGGCATCCATGTTGTGTTCCTGACCTTAGGGGAAAAGATCTCGGTTTTTCCCCATTGAGACTGTTATGCACTGTGGGCTTTTCATATATGGTTTTTATGATATTGAGATATGTTCCCTCTATCCCTACACTTTGGAGAGTTTTAATCAAGAAAAGATGCTATATTTTGTCAAATGCTTTTTCTGCATCAATTGAGAGGATCATATGGTTCTTGTCTTTTCTTTTATTAATGTGATCTATCATGTTGATTGATTTGCAAATGCTGAACCACCCTTGCATCCCAGGGATAAATCCCACTTGGTCATGGTGAATAATCCTTTTAATGTACTTTTGGATCTTATTGGCTAGTATCTTGGTGAGTATTTTGACATCCATGCTCAAGGATATTGGTCTGTAATTCTCCTTTTTGATGGGGTCTTTGGTTTTGTGATCAAGGTAATGCTGGCCTCATAAGTAGAGTTTGGAAGTTTTCCTTCCATTTCTATTTTTTGAAATAGCTTCAGTAGAATAAGTATTAATTCTTCTTTAAATGTTTGGTAGAATTCCCCTGGGAAGCCATCTGGCCCTGGAATCTTGTTTTTTGGGGAGGTTTTTGATTACTGCTTCAGTTTCCTTGCTGGTTATGGGTCTGTTCAGATTTACTATTTCTTCCTGTTTCAGTTTTGGTAGTTTATAAGTTTCCAGGAATGCATTCATTTCCTCCAGATTGCCTAATTTGTTGGCATATAGTTGCTCATAATATGTTCTTAAAACTGTTTGCATTTCCTTCTTGGTCATGATCTCTCCTCTTTCATTCATGATTTTATTAATTTGTGTCCTTTCTCTCTTCTTTTTGATAACTCTGGCAGGGGGTTATCAATCTTATTAATTCTTTCAAAGAACCAGCATCTAGTTCCATTGGTCTGTTCTACTGTTTTTCTGGTTTCTATTTCACTGATTTTTGCTCTGATCTTTATTATTTCTCTTATCCTGCTGTGTTTAGGCTTTATTTGTTGTTCTTTCTCTAGCTCCTTTAGGTGTAAGGTTAGCTTGTGTATTTGAGATTTTTCTAATTTTTTGAGACAGGCTTGTATTGCAATATACTTCCCTCTTAGGACTGCCTTTGCTGTATCCCAAAGGTTTTGAACTGTTGTGTTTTCATTTTCATTTGTTTCCATGAATTTTTTTAATTCTTCTTTAATTTCCTGATTGACCCATTCATTTTTTTTTTTTAAAGATTTTATTTATTTATTCATGAGAGACAGAGAGAGAGAGAGAGAGGCAGAGGGAGAAGCAGGCTCCCTGCGGATCAGGGAGCCCGATGCGGGACTCGATCCCAGGACCCTGGGATCATGACCTGAGCCGAAGGCAGACGCTTAACCGACTGAGCCACCCAGGCGTCCCGACCCATTCATTTTTTAGTAGGATGCTCTTTAACCTCCAAGTGTTTGAATTCTTTCCAAATTACCTCTTGTGAATGAGTTCCAGTTTCAAAGCATTGTGGTCTGAAAATATGTAGGGAATGATCCCAGTCTTTTTGAATTGGTTGAGCACTAATTAGTGACATGGTATGTGATCTGTTCTGGAGAAAGTTCCATGTGCACTCAAGAAGAATGTGTATTCTGTTGAAAAGCCCAAAGTCTTAATTGGAGATATAGTTACACAGTTTCATGAAAGAGACACATATATATTAAATAGCATTTCTTAAAGTAAAAAGTTGTATTTTATATGTGTCCTTTGACTCAAATTCTTCTTTGTGCACTGAACCACTACTCATAAATCATTTCTTGGTTGTTCACCTAAAGCACAAAGTTGGGGCTAAATTCATCTCCTCCAAGAAACAGCATCCTCCTGTGCATATCAAATCATTATGCTTGCCATGTTATATTAAATGTATTATTATATGTCACCCATCCTGAGCTCTGTGCACTTAATCTTTATATCCCCAGTGCCTCCCACATAACCTAGCACAAGATAAATGCTCAGTAAACAGTTTTGGTATCAGCTGGAACTGGGTTGCCCTTACCTTCAGGATTCTGTTAATGTGCAAACATCTTGGAAGAGGTAACACATCACATCAGACTCATCCCTAACATTTGCAAAGTCAAGAGCACAAATGGAGGCCCACATATCATAGACCTAAATATTTATAATTTCTAAATCAAGCTAACAAACTGTTAAATAAAATGTAGCTCTATCTTCCTGCCTCAACAAATAAATGTGCTTTTATATTGATGAGATTAAAAATGTGCAACAGTTCTTTTTTAATATGCTGTAAATTGGCAAAATATCAAAGATAATACAACTTAATTATCAATATGTATGTATAGGTGTTCTGGGTGGCAGTGTTTAGGTTTCAAAGTAAATATATAAATTTCATAAATTATTGTATTTTTCTTTAAGAAAATGTGTATTTTCATCTTTATTTTAGCATGGTTACAGATTATGCAGTTATAATAAAACATTTTAAAAGTTTTGCATTCTATCTACAGTCATGACAAATAATACAACCTTCCCCAAGTCACATGATGTCTGCTCTCTTTAATTTTTTCCTGGTTTAAAAAATTTAAATATACCTTGTCATTGAACTCTTTTCTATTTCTTTTCAACCTTTTTTTCCCCCTGAGATTCACTTACAGTTTACACATATTCTTAATATTTAAAGGATTAAAAAATAAAATGTTACTCAAAATTGATGTGATTTGAATAAAGATGTAATTTAAATTATAAATACAAAAAATTTAAAATTATTTCCATGTGTGCTTTCAGATATAGTTCATATATGGTTTGCAGAAAGTTACTTTCTTCTAAGACATTTAAAAATATTTACTAAAATGAGGACAAAATGCAATTATCTCATATAAACTTTTATGTAAATCATTTGAATAAACAAAAATTTAATGAGTTAGAACTCATAAATCTAAATTTCAAAAATAAAACTATTGATAATTCTAGAATTCAGTAGATATCCAGTTGGCAAGGAATATGAGGCTTCATGTATATTACATCTAGAATTACCCATATACAAACTTTGAGAGTAATGTGAATCATTTAATAGTCAAAATATTCCCCAGGCAGCAAGTATACCTGTTTTGCATGCCGTATTGATTCATGAGTGCCTTCCAATGCATACATTGAAACCAAAGAAAATGGTGCTTATTAAAGCTTGAAAATAATACTTGGTTAGGAAATAACCTGTTGCATTTATGCCATCCAGAGAAAGAACCTGGTGAATTATTTCGCCCTTTCTCTTACTTAAATGCTTCCATAGCTCAAATTTCTTCCTATACTCCAAAGCAGTATCTATTTCTGTTGTTAGCAATGGCAGTCTGCAAACCTTAGTAGCACTTGCACATAGTCACCTTTTGTTTTTAGGATATAAAACAAAAGATGGTCTAAAGTGTTTCTGTGGGGCTTCCAGGGTGTTAATTATAAGAGCAGGTGGTGTTAGTCACAAACGCAGATGTTTTGGGTGCTGGCTTACTCTGCCAGCACCGAGTGTGAGATCCCAAGTGACAGAGGAATCCACAATCTATTTAATTTTTAAGTTTGTATTTGTGATGAGTAGAGCCCTCTTAGTGTGTGGGTTCTAGGGCCAGGATCTTCTCCTGTCTGGGTTTCGGGGTAGGATTGAATTAAATCCCTACCTATGAGAATATCAAATAAATGTCTTCCCTTAAGGTGTGGAGGGATACTAGACATCTGAGGAGAGGGGTAGGGGAGAACAGACTTTAAAAGATAGAATGAATGGATTAAATTTGGAGGGAGTTGAAGCAAAATATCACCTAGTTCATAATTTTGTTTGGGAATTTAGTCTAGAAGTACTATTTATTCTTGTTTCTGTGTATATATGTGTATTTTTTCTCTCGCTGCTCTACAAATTGTCTTGAATTAATCATTGTTTAGATACTTTGAAAATGTTCAGTTTGGGGTTGTGTTTATCATTGGGATTTAAGTCCCTCTATAGTTGGGTTTTGGAAAGCAAAGATGCCCTCAATTTGTATAACAATTTAATTGCTTCAATTAGTATTTTCAGTCTAGAATATAAAGTATAGGATGTTTCTACTATAAATCAAAGCCCTTGGCTTAAAAAAAGATCCATAGACCTCAACCAGAACTTCTTAGAGGACGCTTCAACATAAATATAGTCTGGGATATTTGGGGTTTGCTTATGTCTATACTTAGGGCCAGAATTGGCAAAGATATTAATATTGGGGGCAGGGGAGGAACAGAGATAAACATGTTCAGTAATATTATTACTTGTCTCTCTTCCCCACTACTATATATCCAGATTAAAGAAAAAAAAAAAGAGAAACAGTTTTAAGCTACACATTCTAAGCTAGAGAGAAAAAATGTCACATATTAGGAAATCCTGCTAAAGAAATGTCAAAAAAAGCCACAGGATGCAAAATAATTTTAGATGAACTTAAAATGGGAAGAAGAAATCATCTGGCTTAGAAGTTAGATATATTTCCTCTCCTTTTCAACTCTTAATTCTTTAAGTGTTCAGTATCCAGGCCAGAAATGTGATCTACTAATTCACATTTCCAGTATTTATCAAGGATTATGTCTCCTAGTTTGATTTATGTTTTATTCATGCTTAGAGTTTTAATCTGTCTGAAACTTTGCAATAGGCTAAAAGTAGTCAAAATATGAAAGCTTGCAAATAAACAGAAAATTTTTGGCATGTTACAACTCAACATCAGAATTCTCACCTTTTTCAGGAAGGCACATTAGAACATGCAAGTTACTGGTCATTACTACTTGATCTGTTCTACATAGGATCTATGGTACTTTTGGGATTTTGTAAAATTTCAGGTCCGTCTTTAACAATTCCCTTTGCTTTTACCTCAAATACACTATTCTCTTCCTTTTTAAAATACTACTAATAAAAGTAGATTGGAATACAGCAGCATTGTTGGCAAACCAAACTTTATTAAATGTTTGATTTTATCTGTTACAGAACATGAGAAGAAGCAGTTATGCAAGAGCACCGATTATATGAATTTGCATTTCAAAGTGAAATGGTTTTATAATGAATATGTGCGAGAACTTCCTGCCTTCAAGGATGCTGTTCCTGAATACTCCTTGTAAGTAGTGATTTTCACCCCCAACTTCTCAATTCATAGTCCTATAAAAATTATACCTGAATTATGCAGCCTTAAAATCTCTTCTCATAGTCTTTGCTTGAATGCAGACATTTCTATTATAAAATCAACATTAAATGACTTGCATTTCTTTGGGACCATATATAATTGAATTGTGTTACACTTTTCAACTATGCCTTAACTCAGATACTCAACTCAAAGAAAAAGAAATACAAAACAGGATATGGTTCACATGATGAGGTTATCTTCTGTGAAAGTGCTCAAGCTCAGATTTTATTGGGAAAATGAGGGTATCTGTATACTGAGCTCTAGAATCAGATTTTCCCTTTAATTCAAACAAAAATATCTTAGAAATTAATATTTCTAAAATAGAAGTTATAATTAAACAGGTAACATTTTTCATAAACATGCCTGTATCAAATATATTTCTAAGCAAACAAACTTGTAATACTCTGCATCTCGTATTTTTCAGAATTCTATTTAATTTTGTTGAGGAGGGTCTTCCATATACCAGGCACTGTGCCAAGTGCTATAGGACAGTAGTGAATAAGATAAAGACCTCACCCTGAAAGAAGCTTGTACTTGATGAGATCCTGATAAGTATAAAAATTATGATAAAGCAAGGCAAAATTAAATAAGTACTAATTCAAGGAGCACAAACAAAGTGCAGTGGGTTCTCACAGAAGAGAGACATTACCCCTATTTGGAGGACTCTGCAAAATCTTTATGGATGGAGTAGCACTGATGCAGACTTTGAAAATTAGGTCAGTTGATGACAAGAAAAGCATTTAGATTGAAAGTAAAGTTATGGGGGCACCTGGGTGGCTCAGTCGTTAAGCGTCTGCCTTCGGCTCAGGTCATGGTCCCAGGGTCCTGGGATCGAGCCCCGCATCGGGCTCCCGGCTCAGCGGGAAGCCTGCTTCTCCCTCTCCCCCTCCCCCTGCTTGTGTTCCCTCTCTCGCTGTGTCTCTCTCTGTCAAATAAATAAATAAAATCTTTAAAAAAAAAAAAAAAAAAGAAAGTAAAGTTATGGGCATTATTATGGAAGTAGGAATATATGGGCTATGGTCCATGGGAAATGTCATTATAGTGGGGTATAGAGTATGTTTCCAAAGGAGTAGGTAGCAAAAGTAGTTTTGAACTAGATTATTATAAATAAATGCTATGAAGCTTGCCCCACATTCATGAGGTATTGTGGGCATTGGAAGAGGCAAAGATAGGGCAACAGGAAAGAGATTTAGAAGATAGTAATGTAATGATGAGATTAGAATTTCCCTTTAATGTGACTTTTCTCATAGAAGTTTATAAGATACAGTGGGATACTGGGACTAGTTAAAGTCTGTACACATTAGAGAGTGATTGTAGTAAGAATGTATAGGATGAGTATGTGTGGGAGAGAGATTTCTGAGGTAGAATTTACATAATTTGCCAACTAATACATATGAGGATAAAAGAAATAGGAAAGAATTAAAGATGAAGTATAAGTGCCTAAGCAGCTGGTAATACTGACTTGGAATAGAGAAGTAAAAAAGAGATGCTATTAGCCAGAGACTTCTGCTTTGACTCTGTCTAGACTAACTAAACTACACTAACTAAAATCAGACTGACATGCCCACTGAACACCAATATAAAAGCTGAATAAAATTAAACAGCATCAGAGAGCAATCAAGGCAACCAGGAATTGAGAAACTATGGTCCCCGAGAGAAGAGAAATGCATTGAGGTGAATCCTGTATTTGCTTTTTTTTCTCTATCCTCCCTGCTCCCATGCATTTGCCAATTTGCAGTGCAGGTCATTGTGACCAAACAGAGAACAGTAGCCTAGCTTATAGCAATGTCCGTGGGGTAGAGAAATAAACGTTGTGTTCAGTACTATGAAGGTTGCTTGGACCTGTAGGACCAAAGTCCTAGAGAAATGCAAACCACAGAAAAGTAAGCACGGCATCTTGCATACAGTTTTCTCCCTGAGGTGTTTTCTGATTCTTAATCTGCCCATGTATGGAGACTGAGGCAGAAATAAGCAGGTGTAGAAAGAAGCACTGAGAGGATTAAAACTTAAGTAGACACTTCAGCATCCTCACAATGCTGGACAGACAAAAATTAGAGGTGAAGACTTCCTAAGAAACAAGACTTACCAGACTTTCAGGTGAGATCCCTGAGGGCTGTGCCCTAGAAATCAGCCTTGTCTACTTTATAACTATCTCCCTGCAAATACAAGGAAAAATTTAGATTTTCTGTAGAGGAAATAACCAATCAAAGGTTCCATATCTTTTCATAGACAATGTATAATATTCAACAAAAAAATTAAAGACTGCCAGGCAACAGGACCAATTGAATAAAATCCAAGAGAAAAATAGATACTAGACTTATCAGACATAGACTTTGATCAAAATGTGAGAGAATTTCCACAGAAAAATAGGATTTATAAGAAGAATAAAAGAAAAACTACGGAACTGAAAAATGATGAAATTAGGAATGTAATAAATGGGCTTAATGGCAGATTGTACCTAGCAGAAGAGGGGATAAAAGAAATGGAAGACCTATTTGGAGAAAATATCCATATAAAAACAGAGGAATAAACCAAAAAAAAAAAAAATACAAAATATAGAAGAAAGAATCAAACAAGGGATATATGGGACAAATTGTAAAGGTCTACTACGCAAAGAATTGAGTCCCAGAAAAGGAGAAGAGAGAAGGAACAGTATCAGAACAATGTATGATAAGATACTAGGTGTGGATTTTGCAAATTGGATGAAAAACATGAAGCCACAGTTCAAGAATTTCTATAAATCCTAAGCAGGATTTTTTTTTTTAAAGATTTTATTTATTTATTTGAGAGAGAATGAGAGAGAGCACATGAGAGGGGGGAGGGTCAGAGGGAGAAGCAGACTCCCTGCCGAGCAGGGAGCCCGATGCGGGACTCGATCCAGGGACTCCAGGATCATGACCTGAGCCGAAGGCAGTTGCTTAACTAACTGAGCCACCCAGGCGCCCCCTAGGCAGGATATTTAAAGCAAGGAAAACTACCTGTCATTACATCATATAAAGTTGCTTAAAACCAGAAAAGAATAAAAAAAAAATCTTTCCATTTATTGCAGTCAAGGAAGATAAGACACTTTACCTTCAAAGGAGCTGCAGTAACACTCTTGGATGATTGTTCAATAGGAGGGACTGAAAACCAGAATACACTGCAATGATATCTTTTAAGTGCTGAAAGAAAACAACTAATAACTTAGAATTCTATAAGCATCAAAAATATCCTTTCAAAACAAGATGAAATAAGTATATTTATATAACTAAGAAGCTGAAAGAACCCATTTCCAGCAGACCTTCATAAAAAATATATAAGGCATGCTTCAGATAGAAGGAAAATGAAAATAAAAATGCAGTAATGTAGTAAATGGTAAAATACATTAGAAAAGGTAAGCAAAGAAGGGCACTTAAAAATACATTAACTATTTAAAGTAAAAAAATCTGTAGAAGAAAAGGTACATAGAATTAAGATACAAGACAACAGTAGCATAAAAGGGTAGAAAAGCAATAAATGGAGTTAATATGTTATAAGATCCTTGAATTGTTTAGCAAGTGTAAAATACTCAATTTAAAAATCCTCTAATGTGTCATGGATGGGTGTTAAAATTTATAGTGTAACCCCATAAGTACTATGCATCCATAAAACAATAGGGTGAAGGGAGAGTAAAACAAACATACCTAAGGGCAGGAAAGGAGAATGCGAAAAATAAAGAGCAGGCAGGAAATTTAGGGGGCGGTGGGGGAAGCAAGATGATGTCTTTAAAATTAAGTTTATCAGAAGATTAAGTGTAATCATTAAACATAAATGGATTAATACTCTATTCAACAAATATTGTCCTACAGATAAAATAGTAAATCCCAGACTATCTTGCTTATAATTTATTCACCTAAAATGTAAGTGTCTAGAAAGGTTAAGTAAAGGATGAAAACAATAATTGGTATGAAATTTTCACAGCTATACTAATATTAAACAAAACAGACTTCAAAATAAGAAATATAACAATAAAAAAATTTTGAGAGAAATATTTCATGATTAAAGGAGCAATTCAAAAAGATACATCAGTTGTAAATGTATCTTGTAACATGTCAACAAAATACATAAAGCAAAAATTGTCAGAAGTGAAAGGAAAAACCAACAACTCAACAATTCTACTTGGAGATTATACTTCTTTCAGCAACTGAAGAATCAGACAGTTAAAATACAGAAGTTTCAACAACATGAATTACACACTTAAAGATATTTATCTATCTGTATTTGGTCACCTAGAGGTTCCACAATTTTTTGTGGGAATTGTTTATACACACACACACACACACCCATCTACAATTTATGACCAACAGTGACAAAACACATTGTTATCACACGCACATGGTGCATTTACCTAAATAGACTATTCTGTGAACCATAAAGCAGGTCTAATGGATTTTAAAAGATTGAAATATATACTGTATGGTCTTGGACCACTGTGGAATTAAGCCAGATATCAACTCCAAGAAGATAACTAGAAAATGACCAGATAGGCAAATTAAGCAGAACTCTCTAAAACCTGAGTAAAAAAGAAATCAGTGTAAATTACAAAATATTTTGAACTAAGTGATAATAAAATATCGCATGTTGAAACTTGTGGATTGCAGCTAAAACAGGAAATAGAAGAAAGTGTGTAGCTTCTAATTCTATAGAGAGAAGGGGGAGAAAGGTATAAAATCAATAGTATAAGACTAGTTTAAAGAACAAATTAAGTCAAAAGAAAGTAGAAGGAGAAAATGATCAACAGGACCTAGAGCAAAAATAAATTTTAAAATAGAAGAAACTGCAAAGCCAAGAGTTTGTTCTTGAAAAACATAATAAAAATAAAAAAAGACTTAGCAAGGCCAATGGAAAAAAAAGGAAAAACAGATGTCACAAATTATTGTTACTAGAAAACGACATCACTAAAGATCCAGAAAGAT